TTTTTAAAAATAAATGGCGACACAACTTCTGCAGTGTGAGCTCACAGCAAATGCTCACATTTAAAAAATAACTTTAATAAGGCATTTGAAAGCAATGGCTCATTTCCGGAGTATTTATTTTATAACAATGTACAGCAATCGAAACCAGTAATCTTTTAAATTTTCAAACTGAAAATCGTTTTAAAAATTTAAAAATCATAATTTAAAAAATCGAGCATTTTCAAAAGAACACTGAATGTTACTTCAGTTTAAATTTTGAAGTTTGCAGACAGAGGGGTTTCTTCTATTTGGAAAAAATAAAGAAGCAAAGGTCGGCAAAACCAGAGTTATATGTTTAGTAGGAAGATAAAACAGACACAGAAAAACAGATAGTGTTACGAGAAGTGGACACTCACCGAGACGGCATGACTGAGTATGGGCGCAGAGTAGGTCAGAGTGTGCACCACCTGGTAGGTCGCCACGTCGTAAACCTTCACATGCCTGCAAAAAGAGATGGAAAGATCGATAACGGATTAGTGATGGTCAACCTTACGTGGCAAAAAGTCTGACTGAAGTCTCCATTCGGAACTTACTTGACCTACTTTGCACACTCAAGGACTCTACTCTCCTGGGGGGGGGGGGGGGGGGGGGCAACATGGGGTTAGCCACAATGTCATGCCTAAAAGACGATATTCACTTATTTACAAAAAGGGAGACATCGACTAGCGTCAAAAGTAAGATGTAATGACAACGTGTACAAAGAAACCCACACTAGAGAGGCTAGAGTTATCTCCCAAGCAACCTCAGAGGTCTTGATCAAGGGACTCGAAGTTTGGTAAGAGTTTTAAGGCACTTGCAAACCCAATAAAGTCACATTAGTGCCAAAGATTAGAGGTGTTACAAGAGAGTAAAAACACAAAAAGGAGAGGAGATAAGGACGATAGATGCTTGATAGGGGAAAAAAGAAGCAAACCACACAAGAACACCCGCCAACCACCCACCAACACATGTCCAAGATGAGAGCCGTGATGAGACGTCATGTGATATCAAAATCAATCCGGGACGCTACTCGTTAGTATCTGGACGTTTAAATCAGCCTACGTTACATCACTGAGTTAAAACCATTCAAATACGATAAGGCTGCAATGTACACTTGTCAGCCATTAGGGTGATTCCGATATACTTTTAAATGAAAACCCATCAAAGGTCATACCTGTGCCACTCAAGCTCGTCCGTATATATATAACAGAGAAATGCACACATATATGTACATAGAAACACACACACAAGCACTATACAAATACACACCCTTTCTTTCTACACCCCCCCCTTCTCTCTCTCTCTCTCTCTCTCTCTCTCTCTCTCTCTCTCTCTCTCTCTCTCGCTTACGCACAGGTAGACACGGAGACTCCACTAACCCAGACAGTCACGCAGAAGATAATTAGCAGACAAGCACGTTTAAGTAAAGATTACGCACACAACGAGATCACTACGTATATGATCTTGATGGAGAGATACAGGATCTGTGGCTAGGAACCGGAAGCGTCTCACACCACCGACCGCCACGCCCCATGAACCACTACGAACACGTCTCGGAGACGACACATGTTTTAAACAGCTACCAAAAACTTTTTATTGTAATTTATTATTTTTCAAAATTAAAAAATTCAAGTCCTCAGTTCTTACGCGTTAAACAGCGAAATATTCGCGGTGCGTCTAGATAAGAACGAGAAACCCATAACACCGAAAAGCCAGAGATGCAGCAAGAACGGAAGACGGGGGAGAAGGAGGGTGCAAGGAGGGAAAAAGACTAAGGGGGGGGGGGGGCATACACAACCAGCACTCCCAATTATAGGGCACACAAGAGAAACAATTAGGACGGAGCTGACAGAAAATGTTCGCCCAATTTTAATTGCTGTCGAGGTACAGCAAGCATCAGACGACGAGGATTGCCGAGAAAAAAGGTCATGGGAACATTGCTGAGCGTAGACACACTCCCTGGAACAGGGAATACAAGATTGGAATCTCCACACAATGTCCCAGAAGCAATTCCAACTTGTAGCGGATCTCACAATTTGGTCTGATTTTGCCTTTCCGTATACAGAATAAGAAACGTTACAAACCGCTCAGAAAGTTTTCAAAGAAGACCAAAACGACCTGCTAGAAAGCTTGCAGTGACGAAAAGAAAACCCCTCTCCAGTCAGCGTTGCCAGCGGTTTGACATAATCATAGCACTATTCCCTTCTCTACGCTAGTCAGCATTACCATTATGGCGGATAGCTACTTTCCATTAACTATTTAAAAGATTCATTTCCAGCAAAAGCACTATCTGTCGTTTCCCCCCCAGACCTGTACTGTTCACCGTGCGCACATTCTACTTTGCAGCCTGAAATAACATGTTTCTACGAAATATTCTTTGCAAATTCCCAGACAGAGAACGGATCTTCACGCTCTGTTAAACTTGATAGTTGTGAAGACCATGGATACAAAAGTCACACGGGTTAGGGTTTTGAACACAAAGAGATAAAGTGCCATCAGCCTCACACCTGCCAGTCGTGCCCCTGCTCTATCTGTCCAATGATTTAAAAGTAGACTTAGATATCACGGCTGTTTTCCTGGGTCTGGAAGGGAGCAAATTTCTTTGAGAAAAAAGGATAATGCAGTAGTGGTCATGGAAGACCCAAACGATATACAAATTGGAGACATTTTGAAAACCCCCAAAGGAGTCTGATAAATATGACCACAATAGGCTTGAGAAAAGCACGAGTCTATGGTACGCGTACTTCCAAACAACAGAATTGGAACTTCCTCACATACGATATAATATAGTTAATCATAGAAAGATACATTTGAGCACTTGGTTGCACGTAATGTGCATTGTCTATAACATTCCTCACACTTTCTATTAAGAACTATCTCCATAAAAAAGGCTTTCCCGTTCAAAAGACAATTAAAATCAACAGATAATTTTCTTTATAAAAAAAAAGAA